TTGGTACTAAATAAATAGTATATTTATCTTTATGCTAATGATTGTAAAATTTCTCATGGTAGAACAGATAGCCTATCTCCACTGCAGGAGAACAACCTCAACAGAATAGCTGACTGGCTATATGACAGGCAAATTACCCTTTCCTTTCAAAAATCTAGCGTTCTTCACATCAACTCTAAAGGATTCGATCTTCCTAATCTTTTTATAAATGGTAATTTAATCAATAGAGTCTCACACATCTTTGATCTTGGAATAATCATGGATGAAAATCTCAATTTCGATCTTCACTGCAGAACCACAGTAAAGAAATCTCTCAAAGATACTAAATTTTATTTTTCGTTCGTTTAAGAACAAAACTGAAGATTTTCTTACAAAATGTACAAAACGTTCGTATGGCCACTTCTTAACTAAATGTTACTCCCCGAGATATCGTAAACCAAGTAAAATAATTGAAGGACTCTAAAAATATTTTATACGGCACTTCTCTCCTAATTGCAATTTTAATTATAAAAGAAATCTTTTACAATATACCTGGATTCTCCGTCAGTTCGTCGTTAAACAAGATTTAATTTATACTTATAAGATTTTATATGGTTATGTTAAACTAGATTGTACAAAATATTATAAAATACTATAATTTTAGGTTAAATTTAAATCCAACAAGAACTAATGGACTAAAATTACTAAAACCTATTTGTAAAACTAGATTCTATATGGTTATGTTAACTAAGTTCTCATGATTTTTTTTTCGTAATATTAATTACTGGATAAACTACCGAACGATATAGCTTGTGCGGCATCTCTAGCTATCTTAAAAAAAGATTAGATATTATCATTTATGATATTATTTAAAAAATTCATATCATGCAGGAAGTGTGAAGTCTCGATTTTTACCGTCCGATTATAGTTATTTCGAATTGTACTATATTATATATTATTTTGTAATTTTCTCTTTATTTCATCTTTAAATTGTTTATTTTGTTATTTTTTTATATTTATATAAAAAAATTATTTATTAATTATTTTTTATATTTATATTTATTTTGTTATTTTTTGTTTTTATCATTAATTCTTATTATTTGTAATTTTAACTGTTGTTATTAACACAAGCACATGGCGTTTGCGCCTTGCTTGGCTGGTTAATTTGTGGTTTTTCAATAAATAAATAAAATTGTGGTGGAAATTTCCATGCATCATGAGGAATTTCTAAGAATGCCTAAATGGTGCAGTTTCCCTTGTCTCATAAACCTATGCAATTGTGGGATAACAAGATACTTATAGCTAGCCTATAGGTCTGCTATACCGCCCTACTACCAAAGGCACATCATCAGCTACAATTATTACTTTCATTCTTTTTATTACCATTACCACTATTTCTCTGAACGACATGCTAATATTTTCACTGTAGATTCGTGTTAGATGAATCAACAAGTCAGTACATCGTTCGCATTGATTCCATCTTGATTCCATCCATGTAGATGGCTGATGGTAGCTCAGCTCTTTAACTTGCATTTGTATCCACTTCTTCTGGCTGAGGGGATTTTGACTTATGCAAAACGGAGATAATGCACCACCTTAATATAGTACACCTTTGATAACCAGTTTTGCAATGTTTTGAGTTGCCTTCAAGTCGTTTCCCACAGCCCCATTGAGTTCTCAAATAAGACTTTAGGATTCCTTTGATTATGCAGCCAGATATTTACCATGAAAAGGCATTAAGTCAAAGGCTTTCCTACTGTCAATTCAGAATATGCATATTGGTCTATCAGGGTCTTGAAACGTGAGTGGCTATTCTATCTATGAGCAGCTGGTGTTTTGAACCTCTAATGTTGGTAGCTATATTCATTACTGGCTGATATGGTCTTGAAGCTTGAAGGTTATAATGCCTGATAAGATTTTCCACACTGTGGGTAGGAAGGTTATTGGTCAGTAGTTGTTACCTTATAAAGGCCCTTCATGATCAATACCGTTCTTTCCTTGTTAACCAGTCTGCACAAAAAACTAGTTCATTTGTGTCGTTGAACTTAATTTAAATTGACTTGCTCAACTTCTTTAATCAATAAGTATGAATTAAGTTCGGATCAGGTGCTGTCCAACTTTTCATATTTTTGAGTCACTGTTGTTTTGAGACAGTAATTGTAATGATAGCTGGTTCTTGCTTCAACTGAGGTTGCTGTGACTCATTCTTGCACCTATTTTACATTTGTACTGTTGCTATGAATCTTCTTTTACTCCCATATGTTCTTCCAGTATTGTGTAGTTTCTGCTGCAGTTGCTATATTATTGCACTGGAGTTGAGAATACACTTTGGTTAGTTCCTTGATTTATCTTTTTAACCTCTCCTATATTATGTTTCCTTAGCTTAGAGCTAGTGAGCTGTGAATTTTTAAGCTCTAAGGCTTCTAATGGAGTATAGCCCTTTTTTTAATCCAGATCCTATTCTTAACCTTCATATTTTTTTATCAAATTTACATTGTGCCGACCTTATTCTACCGCCTCGTTTTCCAAGGGTGACATGCATTATTCTTGATTTTATATCTAAACATTTCCAAAAATATAGTGAGTGTGGAGTATACCAACTGATTGGTTTCTATAATAGTGATAATAAAGAATTGCTGCGAAGATTTTACTTGCATCTTGAAGTATATGATCCGGTGATACTTCATGGGACCTCGATCTGAACCTGAGTCAGTCTCGATGGTCAGTTACAGCCAGATTAAGATTTAAGATTTTTTGCCTCATGTCAACTGCTCTGCTTTTCAACGGGAATGTTGGAATGGAATTTCCTAAGTTTTAGTTTGGAATTTTTAGTTTATTGGGCTCATATCCCTTTTCTCTTCTTTCAGATTATGTTGGATCTAGGAGTTGATCAATCTTTAGTTGAGAAAGTTTCTTCCGACAGCTTCCTTTTTCCTATATTGAAGCGTTAAGCCACTAGTTGCTTCTCAATCAATGCAGATGTAGGTCTTTTTTCCATCCATAGTTCCTTCATATGTTTATATAGCCCTTTTCCACCGCTGTAATAGTATTCTACCAATTCTATTTAACTTTATCCATGTAATCTTGGTTCCAGTAGCCTATTTATCACCAAGTGGTAGTCAATACTCTCATATTTAATAGGGCAAATAAGGTTGCAAAATCCTTGCCAAGGATCCTCTGGAGACATAGGAGGAGAAACATTAATCATTTGCGCCTTAACTACTGAGCAACTGAACAGGAACTGAAAGAGCAACTAGAGAAAATGCGGGAAATAAAAATCAAAATAATCCAAGTGATAGGAGCACTAGAGGCTCTGACCTAAATAAATAAATTAAAAAAGTGGCTTCAGTAAATTCCAGGGTCAGAGACTCTGTCCAGAAAAGTGGTTTACTAGACCTAAGATTTTGTGAAAAATTTCCCACTTACAGGGGAGTGAGAAAGGGATTTTTTAATATGTAAATGCCTCGGTGGTTTAAGATGGATTAATTGCAAGATGGTTGTCAACGACAATCGAAAATAGCGGTTTGAAAACAAAAAAAACAAAAAAAAATAGAAAAGAAGTAGATTAGCTTGATAGATTGTTGATCAATTTGGAGCGTCGATGCTGAGGTTCTATGTCCGATAGGACTAAACTCATCCTATAAAAATTCTGCCAGTCCGTCAATTTAGTGGAGCTTAGCACCAATGGTGAACGCTTTTTAAAAAAATATCAAATACTATTTTTCCATTTTAATAATAGTAATAATAACAATATTAATAATAAATAATAATAATAGTAATAAATATTGGTAACAATAATAAATAAATCCTCTATCGATGTAGTAAAATTAAATTACAGAAAATTAAAGGTTTAGTCAACGACTTAAAATGCAAACCTCTTTAAAAGCGTCCACTCCCATGCTATCGATGTAAGAAATTGCGCCGCAGTCAACGATTATAATAACTCGATTTGAAATTGAGGATGTAATAATATTGCGTTTGTTTTGATCCACGTTCTCATCTGGTGACGTTTCCTTTTGCGACAATTCACTATAACCAATATTTCCATCCTCACCTTTTTCTACCTAAAATTTGCCATCTGTAAAATCGAATGTTGCTTTAACTATAGCTGAGTGCCAGAGGCTCGACTGCCACCTTTTGACAGGAATAAATTGCTTGATTAAAAGACCGACCTCTTGCGATCGTATTTGTAATTTTGCTTTTTAATAAAATAAAAATAATAATAAAAATCTTAGCATCTTAATAAAAATAAAGAGTTGTTAGCTATCTGACTATCGAAAATAAGCAAAGTTGGCGCTTATCACTTCCGGTTAAGTTGGCTATTCGTATTATCGAAATTTTTTATCAGAGAGTAATAAAAGAATAACAAAAATAAAAATGGATCGCCACCACGACTCGCATTCTTGAATGACCGGCTTATTCTCATCAAAGATAAGAACCGAACCCTTGCTTTTCAACGCGATAATCTAAGTCTATATCCACTCTAACACTCAGAATAAAAATAGTATGGGAAATGAAAAATTTTTATTTGTATAGCTAAAATGGAATTAATGGAGAATACAGAAAATAACTTTTTTATTTTGATAAACTTGAATAAAACAATATTTTCATATTTTTATTTTCTGCCGGCAAATCTTATAAAATCTTATAAAAAGCACAATACTCATCGACAATTGAAGAAATTTAATAAAGAAGAAGAAAAAAGAAGACGACAATGATAAAGAAAATTTGAAGAAAACTCTCAATTACGCAAATTTAATGTATTTATACGATTCATGGAGGAGATTTTAAGTGAAAAACCAGTTTTGCGAATTTTGCTTTATTTTGAATAAAAGTCTTTTTAAAATTATTCAGTTTTCGACAACGACTTTGGCGATTTTCTAGTTGGTGTTAGGCAATTAATTATAACCATTAGTTAGTTGTTTTATTTTCTTGTGTTGGCGTGTAACTACCAATTAAACAAACTTTTATTTTTCTGTACAATTTTCAATATCATTTTCTGTAGATTTATGATAAATTATTCACTGCAGTGCGATTCGATGATAGAAATGAAAAAAAATTTTAAAAATTACCAATAATTCGATAGCATTTTTTGTGATTTGATCGACTGGCATTTGATGTAATAAATCATCGAATAAATCCACAAATGATGAAACATTGATAAAATGTAATGGGGATTCAAATCGAATCAATTTAACATTTTCACCAAGCGAAAGTAGTTTTTCATAGGATGACTCTGGTTTATAAATATTATAACCAGGTGCTTTACCTAATAAATAAATGTTCGGCCTAAAAAATATTAAGATAAATCGGAAAAATTTTATAAAATATTAAGTTAATAAAATAATCATACTACAGTAAAATTACAATATTTGCAAATTTATAAGAAAGAATGCTAAATTCTTAGAAAACTGGAAAAAATAATTTGATGAAGTACCATTGTTCACGTAGAGCGACTGTTAAAAGCGCAAAAGCCATTGATATCAGGAGACCCGAGGTGACATCGCTTGAAATAGTGGTAAAGCAACCAACCATCCACGTCATCTAAAAATGGATAATATCAAGGAAGAAAATGGATAAAAAATAATGCAAAGTAAAGTAACAATAAGTAACAGAAATGATTTGCAGTAGAAATATGGATATAATTTTTAAACAAATAGATAGTACAAAAAAAATAATTTCGAGACTTTTTAAAGATTTATGAATGGAAAATTTTAAAAAAAGCGAACAAAGTTTTATAATGATAGTTAACGATAGGCTCAGTGGGTTGTTGCTCAATTTGGGGTGCCGATGCTGAAGTTCTATTTCCCGCAGCAGTAAACCTGTCCAAAAATCCGGGTAATGCTAGCGACTCACCTGTACTTCTATCGCCAAGGGATTCCCTGACATATTTGTCCAATATGATAAGCCAGCGGAGCGAGTTTAACCAGTAATGGTGAGGACTCTTCAAAAAAAAAAGATAGTTAAAGGGAAGGTTGCCGAGTAATGTGCTTCGACTAAAGTCAAACACAGTGGTTTCAATTTCTCTACGAATTTCACAGGTAAAACCCAGGTAGTGCTCAAAATTTTTATTTCTAAGTGGTTCTGTGGTAAAGATAATTTATTTTAACAATTAGCGGAGACAAACCGGAAATGGTGCTATTAGATTATTGGTGGTACTGCTTACTGATGGTTCCTACATCTATGGAACTTTAGACTCGGGTAATATTAAAATTTACTTACAAAATCGAATTTCGATATTTTCCAAAGATGAGGCAAATCCTTACATTGCAAAAATAAACTTTTCAAGCTTATTATGACTATGCATGCCAAGATGCACTGAAAAAATTTTTTACTGAAAAAAGTTTGGCACACGAAATGCTAATAAAATTTAAATAATTTTTGAATGATAAGGAGTGAAAAATGGTTAAGCGAAAAGAATTACCATAGGCAATGGCTGAAGAAGTGGGCCAATCCAAATAATAACAACAAGTAACAAAGAACTCGAAAATACAGTGTACAGCTGAAATTATAGTCTTACACATTAGCCTAAACAGCAAATATTATAGACATTAATTTGCATTAACTTCCTCATTTTTTGATGACAAATGGAGTAGACTTTATTAAATGGGATAGATTAATTTACCCCTCCAAAATTAAAAGTTCATTCTTGATTTGAACCATTTCGACAAAGTTTAAATCTAAAGATTTTAAAAATTTTCCACATAGTATAAAAATATTTAAAAAATTCTCTTCTCACTTCCTATGGGTAGTAAGAACCGTCTTCAACCTCGCGTCCTCTACCAGAAGCTTGCGAAGATCCACTTTTCTAGTTTAGAGGTGCTTCTATTAGGACTATTTTGGCCTTCAATTTCCACATCTTCTCTAGTTCCTGTTTCAGCCGCTGGTATTCTCTAACTTTTCATATACTTTCCTAACGTTCCTGTCACTTATTGCTAAATCTCCAGTGTTGATTTCTGGTTCATATCCACTACCATCACGGCTAGTACTGTTGATTTTTTTATAAAGAGTCTTCACCATCATTGGTTAGACTCGCTCCACTGGCTTGTTGCATTGGACAACCAGGGAGTCCCTTAGCGATAGAAATACAGGTGAGCCCACCACTGCATCACTCGGATTTTTGCAAAGGTTTACTTCTGCTGAGAATAGAACCGGGGAGCATCAGCGCTCCCAATTGAGCAACTGAGCCACTGAGCCATTTCTATGGCTAATTGATTGGCTAGTTTTATTTAGAGGGAGAATTCCCACAGGACCTTAACTTTTTCTTCGATATTCTTTGAATCTCTCATCTTATCCTAAGGGTATAAGGGAAGGTTTAAGCCATACATTGAGTAGATATTCCTGTAGATAATGCCAGCTTAGATTGTTCATGCTTTCATTATTTGTTTGATATTTCTGAGATTCGTTTTCGCAATCTTCATTTTGTGTTCTGTCTGGTGTAGTGAATCATTTCTTTGGCAGATCTAGCTTTATCTTCTTGTGTTGTTGTGATTATTGTTCAGTCCTTCCTTTAAATTTTTCCAACCACTGGCAGGATTTTTCAACGTCAGTCACCTCAGTTTATTTATCTATAGTACACATCTTATGGAGGGTATTGCCACAGAACTTCCTTTAATTCTTTCGCTAGTATCTAATGATGCTTCAGATATTATTCTCAACAACTCATTTGATGCCATCTTGCACATTTTAACCATTCTCAACCATTCTCAAATGGTTTTGACGTTCACCAAGCATCTACTTTCTCTCCGGCTGCGGCACAATCTTTGGATTTGGTTCGTTTTGGGATGGAAATTTCCGTGCGTTATGAAGAATTTCCAGGTCTTCAAATTAGCAGTTTGCATGCCTTCCTTAGTCCATCTTACTATGCCTTCTGATGACTGGCAGAGCGCAGAATTTTGTTTTTTCTGGCTCTTCAAAAGCTTACCCTTTGGTGATATTTGGATAATAATTGCTTTCTTCCTTGCTTCTTCACCATGACTGGTTTCTATGACTGTGGGGATAAATTATTTATTGCTGGTTTATATATTTATTATGTGCTTTGCAGTTTTTCCCCATCAGTTCTAATTATTTTCTCTCTCTTTCTATCATCCGGCTCTCCAGTCTGAATGACAATACATATAGTGCCCCACTGTAGATGAATGGGCGAGTAAATGTCTCGTTCGCAACAAGTGTCGTTCATGCAGAAAAAGTGGCTGTTCATGAATCTGTGCCACGTTTATGCTCATTTAGGCTGGTCAGTACAGGGAAGGACGATCTTTATTATGAAAAATTTTTGTGAACGAAACGGTGCCAACAATCGGTCAATAACCTGTCCCTCCACAGTAACTAAATTTTCGATTTGTTGCAGAAAATATACATAAGGTTCAAGTGGTGGTAGAAGCATTAGGGTTCTAAACTAGAAGTGACTTAAACAGATTTTAGGAACAACATCGAATACTTCTGTCTAGAAGACTACACTACTAGGAACAGCTAAGATTCTGCATAGGACTCAGGCTCCCAGGCCTCTGGTGGAGAATTAGAGAGTGAGGATTACCCAAAACACACACTTGAATATTAATGCGCTCGATTGTTCACCCACAGAGAATAAGAAAAGAATTTTTTTAGTACATATATATATATATATATATATGTATATTATAAATTATGTATATTATTATTATATTATTTTTATTATAAATTATGTGCATTATTTTATTATTATATATTTATTATTGTTAATTTATTGTTGATATCATTATTATTAATTATTATTTTTAAAGATAATGGATTATATGAATGAATGAACAATGAATTAATATAAGAATACTTGCGTATTAGTGCCCGATTGTTCACAGACAGATGATCTTGAAAGTGAAGCTCCAGCTGAAAACACAGGAAAAAATGATGATAAAGTGGACATTAAACCAACTGCGTAGAGTTCCTGAAAATTAATAAAAGCATTATTCATATTTATATCTGAAATGTTTGCTTGAAATATAGAATTTTAGGAAAATTTCAGCAGGTTTAAAAAATAATTTGCCGAAAAATTTTGAACCCAGTAAGATTTGAGGGTGGTCGAGTGGTATTTTCCTTCGGCTCAAGAATCACGGATTTATTTCCTAACTCTTAACGAAGTACACCTACCATCGAAATCTGGTTGCTGACCAACCTTTACTCTTATTCCCAAGTGACTCTTTGGCAAACTTTCATTCTGAATAATAAGGAACCAAACTAAATATGGTGAATGTATTAGTTGAAAACGAATTGTGATTGTTTAAAAGATGAAAGATAAAGGAAATGATTTCACCTGATTTGGATCAATCTTATATTTCCGCTTTTTAGCAAATAATTTAGCCAGTGAAATGACAAACATATAGCATATAATAGCAAGACCAATAGCATCACTCAACAGATAACGCATTAAATCAAATTTCGGTATTAATGGCTTAGGTAATCTAAGAAATAAAGATTTAGTTTCAGTAGATACATTATTTTCATAATTAAATTGCTTGAAAAATTCAGAATTTGATGTATTTTAATGCCTTTGATATGGTTTTTTTTAACGAAGTTCTGTGGAATCTAAATCTCTATGAAAAGAAGGAAAAAAGTGACCTGCTATATTTGACTTAAAATTGAAAATCGGTTCTAAAATGATCAAAACTATACAGTTGAACAAAATTATAATATTCAAGTACCCTTGAGGAATAGTATCGACAATTTTGACATTATATTCGTTTTTAAGACTTAATATCGTAGAAAATGCTGTTGTTAATATCACCTGAAAACAAAAAAATGGTGAAATTCTCTTTCCTACCAATCGCCCAATTTTTTCGCTTTTCCGATAAAAATTAATCTAATAAGAATTAAATCTAACCAAAATAAGTTCGAGGGGTAATGGTACTGGAGATCGTTTATTCACCCATGGATTGACATATTTTTTACCAATTTCGAGAAACGTTAATCCCCAAATCGATAATGCTAATGTTACATAATTTGTCTGCGGAAGTGAAAGAACAAGATCCCGAATCATCTAAAAAATATATTTCAGCTCGAGAAATAACCACTTCTTACATCTAAACGGATCGCTGGAATAGAAAAAAACCAAAAAAGGTGAACTAATTTTATGATGACTTAAAAATTATAATTCTGGAGGACTTGGAAGCATATAAATCTAAAAATAATTCGAAAATTTAGGTAAAATAATATCGATGAAACTTATTGAAACTAACTAAAAACAACATTCCAGGTCCACTGTGTCTTGGTAATTTGACACCAATAATTTTATTAAGCTGGGCAACCAATACATGTAACGCTGATCCAGTTGTAAATCCAGAGACTAATGCGTCTGACATGTAGGTCGTCAAAAAAGATAAACGCAATAAAGCCATGCACAACTAAGATGTTGAAAAAATACAACTGGAAATAATCAATTCACAGAACAAAACTTGAAATAAATCCAATAAATCTCAAAATAAAGAAATGAATAAATTTTAAAATTCAAAAATAATTTTCAATGCTAAATTAAAGTTTCAATGAATCGAAATTTTGGAATTCAAAATCATTGAATATTTCGAAATCGAAAAAAATTAACTTTTTAAACGGCATTAAAGAGATTTTGCAACCGACCTTAACTTTTGAATTCATTTAAAATTATGAATTTCCTTCATTAAAAAAAGTCGTAATCGGAGAAAAATAGAAAAAATTTAAACGAATTTCGAAAATAGCTTTCTGAAAGCACTATCATCCTCGAATGGTGGAAGCAAAAGGCTTCTTTCAATCTTTAGGACTATTCGCCGAACAATCCTTCTTGAGCCATCAAAGATTGATGGTTGTTAGATTGCAACTTCTTTTAGTTTTTTTCCCTTTTTCGTTGGCTCTTGTCCGTTGTTGATTATTTATCAATCATGCCAATAAGCCATTGACGCAAAGCCTTATCAACATCTGCATTAATATAATTGATCCATATTAATTGATAATGGCTGACAAATTAACTTCTAGTTTGAATTCTGTCTTTGATTTTACTCTCGCCGTTCTACGTTATTGTCACTTTCCACAGCATAGTACGGTCCAGGCAGATTAGAACACGATATCGCATCAACCATCATTTCGAAGAGTTGAATCGGTGGTGAGTCAAGGCAAAGTTTTGCCAATATTGTATCGAGAATGGGCTTGACTGTGAATCAAGAAAGATTCATACAACAAGATGACACAAACAAAAAGGCAAGTGACAATTAAACAGTCAATGAAATTCAACTCGAGGAAGAAAAAAAACTAACTACGGGCGAGACCAAAAAAAACGGAAGAAGAGCCGATCTCAAAAGTAGCTTTACGCCGTTAGACAAAAAGCATCAAGTTTTCTCTTAAACAAGAACAAGTTTTTTTATCAGCTTTTTAATAATCACTGATCGAAAGGAGAATTTCCGTATAATTTTATCAGTATATTTTGCCGGAAAAATTCTAATCTTATTCACAGAACCTTTTCATACATAAAAATTATTAGTCTATAAATAGCAACCCTTTTATACACGGCAAAAAACGGCGAAAAAATAAAAGTAGCATAAAAATCGCTCAAAAAAAATAAATATATTTTTTCGCCAATATTACCTGGATAAGTCCTACAGCCATCGCAAGTGAGCTACATAGCATTAGAGGAGTCACTTCGTGTCCAAAATCTATAGGCGACTTAATTGGTTTTTGATATTCCACACGTGTCCCATTAATATAATCGGTGATAATTTCAGGATCTGGTAGTAATCGCAATCTCACTGATCCAACCATCAAACTTGCAACAGCAAAAACGCCTGCAAAAATTATGGCGATAAAAGAAAATCTTGATAAATCTGTCAAATTTTATTTTATTCTTGAAGAGATTGAATTGAATGAATTTTTAAAAATTCATTGACTTCAGCTCCACTCGACATTTTATTCACTATTCTTTCAAGAAATGCAATGCTATTCAATTAAATTTTTGATTATTTCACATTTCTTCTTATCCTTCTATTTTTTCTATTTATCTTAAAAACAGCTTTGGTTTATATCACTTTTAGTTTCACTTTGATTCAATTAGTCAAAGTGAAATTAAAAGTGATATTAAGATATCACAAAACCACTTGGAAATAGAACTATGTTTGTACAGAAAAAAGGATTTTATGAATTATGCACTATGAATTTTCGTTGGGAGTACTGTGATTCCCCTTCCAATATTCTACCTTTACAAAAATTCGTTTTGGAAATCCGCTCCACTCCACTATCTTTTTTCTGTATAGATTTAGCTTTCCTGTTACGCGGGACGGGATTTTTATTTCTTATTAATATTATAAGACTCTGCGGCCAGCGTTCTACTTCTTACTTTTCTCGTTGCGAACCTCAAACTTGGGTAATTAAACTTTTATTAGTAAAGACGCAAATATATACAAGAGAATAAAGCAAAGAAAACGAAGCAATTGCCCTACTATAAAGAAATAATACAGTAAAAAAATCAAATATAAAATCTAAATGCCCATCACTGACCGCTCCCCCACTCATTTTCCCCTACTAGAAGGTCCAATCCAATGTAAAGTAAAAAAATAAGGAAGAATCAAATTAAAATTTTTCAGTTTAAAACAATTATAGCTACCCATAAAATCCGTACATATAAAAATAATGATTAATAATAATAATGTTCCTAATAATGCGCTCTTCTGAATAGAGATCTCTGATGTTGTTCCTGGATTCTACCCCACCTACCTTTTTTCCGGCTGGTTTATGGCCTTTGGGTATTGGATTTTGGGTGAAAATTTGTTTATATCAGCGGTCTCCGTATCTTCCTTTGTTCATCTCATTGTGCCAAACTACTGGCAGAGCGTACATAATTATGGCATGGATTTTGCTCTTCCCATTGAGTTGGCTCTTTAGCATTTGTCTTGTCCTTTAGTGATATTTATGTCTAGATGTCTTCCTTGTCTCCTCATAGTGGTTAACATATGACTGGGGGATACCAATGTACTTGTATGTCTGCTATATGTCCTGATGGTAGGTCTACCTAATTAGTTACTATTACTTTTCCTTTCTTTCCGGGTAATCTGGCGACTCACCTGTAATTTCTATCGCCAAGGAATTTTCTGCATATTGACCAGTGCGACAAGCCAGTGGTGCGAGTATAACCAGTAATGGTGAAGACTCTTTAAAAAAAAACTTTTCCTCTCTTTATTACCATAAGGCCACATTTCTTTCATCTGAATGATATCAAAAAAACTTTTCCTCTCTTTATTTCCATATGGCCACATTTCTTTCATCTGAATGATATCCCACTGTCCTCGCTGTAAACTTGGATGATCGAGACAATACCTTGTTCACTTTTTGCATGCAACTTGATGTCATCCATTTAGAGATGGCTGATGATAGTCTCGCTCTTGAATTTGTATCCATATCCGCTTCTGGTAATTATCTAGCTAAAGGGGTCCACATCTATGTAGAACAATAGGAGAGACAATGCATTCCTTAGTATGCATTTCTTGTTGTTTCTCACAGTCCTATTGAATTCTCAATGCCTTTAGGGTAATCTTGACTTTGTATAGAGCCAGATATTTACATCCATGTGTTGGTTGGACTTTCTTATAGTCAATCTAAGCTGTGTAGAGATCTGTCGGGGCTTTCAATCTAGAGTGATTGCCTTATTTATTATAAGGCTTTCCATTTTGTGGTTATTAATCTATATAGTTGGATAGTGTTGTTCTCTTATGTTGGCCTTTCCTAATCTACACCAGTCTTCCTTGTATTAACCAGTTTACGTGAGAGCCTGCCACAAACAACTGGTTGGTGCTCTTGAATCGCTGTTAGCTTCTTTAGCCAGTAGATATGAACCATATGCAGGTGCTCCCAACTTTCCATACTTTTGAGTCGCTGCTGGATATGATGGTAGTTCTTGCTCTGGGAGATTGATGTGGCTTGCTCTCAGATCTTGTAATCATTAATGAATCTTTTTTTTGCCATATATTCTTCCAGTATTTTACAGTTTCTATTGTTGGTGGTTCTGCTGTTACCATACTATTGAATGGTTCCTTGGAGAATAGAGAATTTATCTTTTTAGGCTTTGCTTCTCTAGTGTATTCTTAGCTTAGTGGCCAGTGATATAAGCTTTTGTTTAGCAGTCTCAAGCGCTTCTGATGAAATTTAACTCTTGCATTTTTTCATTATCCAGATAGTATTCTTAATCTTCACACCTTTCTTGTCAGTTGGCTAACTTCTCTGCATTCTGCACTGATCTTATTTTCCAATCTCCTCTTCCAGGGGGCGACATGCAATGTTTATTCTCTTTTTGATTGTTCTAGCATCTCCAGAATTACGGTTGCTGTGGGGTGAACTTTACTAGTTTCTATTATAGTAGCGGTAAGAATTGCTATGGTGGCTCTATATACTATTTGATGGTAATTGAGCCACTGCCACAGTAGACGTTCTCAATGGTTAACTATAGTTTATCCATGATTTTTTGCCCCATGTCAATGGTTATACTTAGCAATAGAGTAGAAGGCGATTTCCAGCTTTCCAGCTTGTTGTATGCATGTCTTCTTTCCTCTTCTTTTTGAAGATTCTATTTGTGGAGTGTAGCGCAGACTTGATATCTTCCGGCAGACAAAGCAGTTTTCATTTTGCTGAAGCGTTGAACCACTAAATATTTTGCAGTTAATGTGGTAATGTGTTTAGGCCTATTATTATAGCAGCATCCCATCATTATTTCGTCTCGTCCATGTAAGATTGATAACCCTTTTAATGACAGACTGACCTATTCCCACGGCACCTGGCGCAGTTGCACCGTTTATTTGTCATCAGATAGTCCTTGTTCCTCAACACCTGATCTTAATCTGAGCATTTTCCGAGCCGGAATTACTCTAGTACACTCTCATATTTAAAGTAAGACAAGTAAGCACTAAGTGGGTTGTCCTTGAAGTCCACTGCAATGGTAGAAGCAATTCGAATCAATTCAATTAATTCAAAACGTTGTTATTATATTCCGCTGATCTTAACCACTAAGCTGTGCCAACGCATAAAAAAAACCCCAGGGTAAGTCGTCACATCACCGGTATTTTGGACAGATTTACTCCTGCCTGGAGTAGAATTTCAACATCGATATGTAGAATTGAGCAACAACTATTGCTATTTTATTATATATAGATTCTCATGAAGGTAATCCTTTCATCCTAATTCGTCTTCTCCTTTTTTTATATCTTTTTTTATAGACCTGCAAAGATCAATCATTTCCATATGATTATTATTATAAAAAGGCTTTATAAATTATTGTAACCTTTGAAGGTTAAATGATGCAGATATATATGTGATATAAAGCTTTATGTTTACTTTACTTATCATTGCGAAACAAACAAAGTTTTGCAAAGATTTACATTTGTTTATCCATTCATGTCTTTTGATATTTCTGGCGAAACTTTTCATTCACAGGAGTTTTTCTTAATTCTAAATTAAGGATTCTTATTCTACAGATTTTGCAGGACTAGATAGTTATTGAAATTTGCTTATCCATGTGCTTAATCATAAATATAGGAAATAAACCACAATGGCGCATTAGCTTATTTGACTAACGATTGAGGAAATCACAGATATTTTGAAAAAACATCGCTTTTCCATGATATTCCAATGTAATATTTCATTATGTGGAAGGGTTCATAAGGAAAACCAAAATTAACTTAACCAGATTGCCAAAAAAGATTATTATGGCAAAAATTATTAAAAGTTAAAAGCATTTATTTGTTCTCAATATTCATAATTGCTCAGTGGGTTTGGAGCGCCGATGCTGAGGTCCGATTCCCTGCAGGAATAAACCTGTACAAAAATCCGGGTAATGCTGGCGACTCACCTCTGTTTCTATCGCCAAGGGATTCCCTGGCATATTGCCCAATGCGACAAGCCAGTGGAGGAGTTTAACCAGTAATGGTGGGGACTCTTAAAAAAAAGTTCATAATTACATAAATAAAAATGGAACAAACCAATGGATACATGCCTAGATGTACCGAAAAACATATAAATGGTTGAACTAAAAAATGATGAATACATTCCGATCACTGGCGGTAAACTTGCCAATGTTGCATATGCCATTCCTATAAATGAAATTTGATAGAAATAATTTTCTTTAAATTTTTCGTTTATTTGTTCTTTGCATTTTGGCCAATAAATTTCTTGAAATTTCTATTAGAAATACAAAATTCAGAACTTTATTTTTTATGATAATAATGTTTTCCATGAAAGCGAAAAAATTATAGAAAAAATGCAACAGAAGTAACTAAAATAGTGAAATATGCAAGTATGAGACTGCTAACCTTGAGGTATATGCATGATTCCAACAGTAAGTCCACCAATCAAATCACCTTGAAAATCTCGCTTCCAGTCATACTTGGGCAACCATTTTAATATAGGCATGAAAGATAGGAATGAATTTAAAAAATAAGATCTCCACTTACCCTTATTTTTCTTAAAAACATCACTTAATTTGGTACTTTGATACGGTATTCTATGGAATTCGATATCAAAATTTTCCTGAAAAACATTTTTGGAATTTCATGGAATTGTTTCTAATAAAATCAGAAAAATCGACTCATGGCTTGTAGTGCTGTGCTTCTGAATAAAAATCTTTTTTTATGGCACATAAATGATCGGAAATATTTTTTTAATTAGTCAATATTTTAGCTGAAAAGGAAAAAAGGAAATAATAATTTTGCAATTTTGTAAAAGCTATCAAAAGCTATTCCAGCTGATTTTTAAAATTTTCTTCTTGAAATATTTCCATTTCCTAATGTTTTAATCCTATATTTTAAATCAATTCCATTAATCGAAATCTTATTATCTCATATATTTAAGCTGATCTATTCTAAAATTCTTCAGTTAATAACAAAATAAAATAGCGTTCTAAGATATAATGAAATATGAGGGTGAGCTACCGAGTCATTATATTTAATCTTATTGTAGACGTAGTCCAATTGACAAACCTGGTTAATTGCAAGAGTTGTTTGATGCATCATTTTTAGAAAAATTCACTTTTTGATCAGATTATCTGCTTGTTTTAATAAAAATGACTTGTGAAATAAAAAATGCTACTGAAAAAGTATGAATAATTTAGAAAGAATGACACAAGCATCATTTATTGCGATAACATAAAACATAAAACATAAAAAAAATAATTAATGGGACAAAACTGGCAAAATTAGTAAAAATTTTATTAATGAAAAAAAATTCTTCTCGATTCTAATTATTTTTCGATAATGAAAGAATATAAATATATTGGAATATTGGAATATATTGGAATAAATAAATAGGTTTATAAATAGTTCTAACAAAATCAGAAATAAAGAAAAATAAATAAAGAAAAATCACAGCGAATAAATAAAGAAAAATCAAAAATAAAGAAAAATAAAGAATAAAGAAAAATAAATAAATAAAGAAATAAAGAAAATAAAGAAAAATAAATATAAATAAAGAAAAATCACAGCGTTCGTCGCTAATAATTGTAAATACATATCCAGGATCAGTAATCCCGAATTGCAAGACTTTTTGCATATATTCTGCTTTAAATATATATATATATATATATATGATACCAGGGAATGAAGCAGGAACTATAGAAAATGTGGAAAATGAAGCCAAAGAAACCCCATCAATAATTGGATCACTTGGAACTATGAACTAAAAAAATAGCTTCAGCAGATTTCAGAAACAATATCAAAAATCTATATCCAGAATGGAGCACTGCTACGAGGCACAACTAAGATACTTAATCTCAACCCTGCGCAAAACGCTTAATCTCTCAAACCTCTGGTAGAGGACTCGAGATTGAGGATGCTTACCACTCACCAGGGGATGAGAAAGGGATTTATTTGTGAATCTGATAAATAATTTGTAAAAATTTCAAGGCGCATGGAGAATTTCAACCGTGAAAACTGCTAAATAATTTATATTATATATAATAATAAAACCTGGGACTGAAAAATAAAAAATTTGCAAGATGTAAACTTGAATCTTTAAAAAATCTCTCTGATTTTTCTAAATTTTTCATTTAACAGCTATCAACAAGCAGAATAGCCAAACTGATTGCAGCCTTAAGCATCAAGGTTTAGACATCGTGTTACTGAAAGATAAACTCGTCATTAAAAAAAGTGCGAGTGAGAAATTTGCGAAGTAACTCTCTGACAAGAACTTCTAATGCCGAGCGATTTATTATGAAAAATAACTGTCTGTTAATTTTTCCCTTCAAAATTACCATATAAAATTTAATTTAGTTGAATAGTTGAAAAATTTTAAAACAACAAAGAATAATGATGAAAATGAATAACAATTACGATTGTTTACGAAAACGATCTGAAAAGACAACGGAAAACCACTTTTGAATTCTCAGTTAATCAAATTTTATTACATTAATTTTAATCAAAAACATGGCTCTTATTTGCAGTTAAACAATATAATTCACGTAAAATAATGAGAAATGCATGTGGTGCTGAGCGCTGACCCACATGCACCTCTATTCCAAGCAACTCTTTGATGAAACGACTCTCATCCTGTGAAAGCAAATGCGAGTAGAGCCTGTTCTAAAAAGAACTGATCAGAAAATTTTTTAAAATATCGATTTTAAAAAAATTTTTGGAAAAAATTTTTCATAAATTCAAGAAATTATAAAATATTTCCTCTCGTGACATTTTCGCCTGAGAATCTGTTGTTTATAGAAGAATAGCTGATTCTTCAATATATTTCTATATTTCTGCATTATTTTTTATATTCATAATAATGTGGTTATAAAATATCAAAGCTTTTTTCGGTCGCTTCATTCGGTTAAATATTCATTAATTTAATGGATGTGAATTCCATAAATGGGTTTGTATATAGAAAATGCGTAATATAACAAAAGATCAATGAATTAATCATTTTTCGGAAAAATTATGCAAAACTATAAAATGCAAATATAATCAGAGATTGTTATAAGAAAATTGGAAAAAAATGGCATTATCTCCTCTTTAATAATTTTAATAATTTAAATAAAAAAATCGAAAAAAAAATCATCTATAATATGGTTTTGAATTATTAAACTATGGCTGAGTGGTTCCCATCGATAAAAATATCATGTCAAGGCACCATGGATTTGATCCATTTTCATTAACACTAATAAACCATGTAATTAATGGTCCAGAAATCCAGGTCTTGAAGAATCAGCTATTCTTCTATAAACAACAGATTCTCAGGAGAAAATGTCACGAGAGGAAATATTTTATAATTTCTTGAATTTATGAAAAATTTTTTCCAAAAATTTTTTTAAAATCGATTTTTTGTTTGAAAAATTTTCTGAGTCTGTCAGGAATAAATCTGTCTTTAAAAAATCTGGGGAGGTATTGGGAAGAAAGCAGTTGCTTCTATCAACTGGCTTTCTTGCCGAACTGCGGTTAAGAGTAGGTGAAGAATTCATTAATCTTTGAATCTTTTTTCTATATTTCTATATTTTCTATTTTTACTAGAAGCTATCACTACTGATTTGTGGAAGCAACAAATTGCTCAATCACTCTATCCTTATTTAATCATTTAATCATTTAATAAGATCAAAATTTTTTTTCTTGTTGATCATTTCGCTTATATTTTAATATTTTATAAAATTTTTGTCGCGGAAATTAATTATGATTTCCGTCTATGCCTGATTCATTGCCTGTTAATAAGAAGATTTTGCTGGAGATACATTTGATTTGAAGTGCACATGGAATGCTGATGATGCTAGAAATGATAACCTATGCAATAATTGCTCAGATAAATGATGGCTTAACAAGACATAAAGGGAAAATGGGCTGAGCATCGAAGATATTTCTCGAAACTATACGCAAAAATATAGTAAAAGCATGAAGTGTTCCTCTCAAATATTTATTTTAACAATTTTAAAATATTTTAAATTTTAATCGATTCAACAATAATTTATTATTATTAACAGTATTATAATATAAAACTAGAATCAGATCAACATTAACTAAACATAACTCATTACTCAGTGAGTTTACTCGCATTTCAGAGCCATGATGAGGTTGTCCCAGTAAAATAAACCTACCTATTTCTACAAAAATTTGAGTTATGTTTACGACATATATTTATACATCAACCTGTACTTCTACTTCTACTCCCTGTCAGAATTTATCCGATAAGGCGACAGGGTGAACCAAGCCAAAAAATGATAAGCACTGTTAAAACAAAAAAACAAAAGCAAGAATGAAATCAAATCGTTGTAGTATAGTATTAATTTATTTACCATCTTAGTAATATTAATTCTTTTAAATAATAATTAACTTTTGTTGAATCTAAGAAATTTTAAGAATTTAATGTCCGTTTCGATGGCGATGCTTCTTCCTTTCAGATTTTCCTGGCCTTGTTCACTTTTTCCATAGAGACGACATTATGGATAGATATGGAAAGACTCTAGCAATATGCGGATTTCATCTCCAATGACAGGAAAAATATTTCAACTGGCTTAAAATTAATCGAATCAACGTGCCACTCCGATCGCCAGTAACGAAAAAGAAAAGAACCCTTTTTAGAACAATGTTCAATGCATTAATAAACTTAAGGAAATACAGGTTTATCATAAAATTTCGCAAAATTTGCAAGAAATTTCAAAAATAACCGAAAAGCAAAGCTTTTTTTTAGTAATGCAACGCTTTGGAAGTTTTCGTTCTTTTGATATATATAATACAATATATAATGTATAATAGGGAACAACATGAGTATAGGAAACAAATTCATTTATTGTAAAGATAATTTCCAAAAAATTTCAAAAATTTAATTAAATAGATATCGGTTGTTTTAATAATTTTTTTTCGAAATTATTTCAGATTATTATGTCCGACAAATACTTAATTATCGATAATTCCAAAAAACATAATGTATAATATTTATATAAGTATATTTATAAAAATATAAAAAATATAATATTTACAAATAGTTATAAAGAAAAAAATTTTCTAGAGATAAAATATAACTTTATGTTTATATAATATTTTTTACAATATTTAATATTCAACGAAACTTTTTTTTTTAAGAGCCCTCACCATCACTGGTTAGACTCACTCCACTGGCTTGTCGCATTGGGCAATATGCCGGATTTCCTTGGCGATAGAAATACAGGTGAGTCGCCAGCATTAGCTGGATTTTTATACGGGTTTACTCCTGCGGGAATAGAACCTCAGCATCGGCACTCCAAATATAGCAGCAACCCACTAAGCAATTTTTTTACTTTTTTAATTTTTTTACTAGCAATTTTAACGAAATTGACGAAACTAATCCTATACTTTAAATAATTTTAAATATTAATTTTTTAA